TTGTTATAAATATGTCTCATTTGGATTGTCCAAGGGATCGAGTTTATTTTTGTTAGGTTTTTGTTGTTAGCCACCAAACGATCCTGAGAATTGTAATCGTGATTTCTTTTGAGTCATTGATATTTTGCAGTTAGTTCTTGAATCATTGTTGTTACTCTTCCTGTCATCTTTATTATTATGCATGTTTTGAACGATTCTTGTTTCATGATGATTAACATGATTTATGCGTCTGAGTAGTGTTAGGGTTCTTGAGGATGGGATAGATTAGGTGGAGGATGTTAGTTTGCTAGAGTGTTTAAGTTAGATTCGTTTTGTTTCCCTTCTGGACTAGAGTTTTATTAGCTAGTTCTTCTATGATCAATTGGAACTGGGTCATAGACATTTCATACCCGAAAGGTATATGATGAAATGTCTGAACCAACTAGTGCCAGAGATTTACATGCTTAGCCCAAGAGATTGGTTGTCTAAGATGTTATGACATAATGAGCTGTTTCTTTATGCCTGTTTACTGCATGTTTCATCAATGAGAATTGAGATTAGGAAGTGTTGTAAACTTGATAGTTTCTGCCAAGAGATTGGATTGACTAGTATTAGAAGTTCATTGTCTAGGGATTAGAATGTTTGCAGTTTGATAAACACTCGAAGTAGATTAGCATACTCCACCTACATCAATAACCTCATCCTTGGGATCTTCTATCCATTTGTGCTTTCTGTTTAATTCTCTTGTTATTTACTTGGTCTGCTTTGTTTTCTTGCCAGTATCAATAATTGTTTTGTTTTAGTTTATGCATGGTAGTCTATGTTTTACAGCTTTACATTTATCGCATGTTTAACATGTTCGCTTAGGATCACTGAAAACCAAAAATCATTTATGCTTGCTTGACTTAATCATTTCTGATATATCTTGATTGCTAGCATCACACCTGATTGGATTGATACCTATTGTACTGCAATGACATGATAGTACTCTAGGGTAATTGATAGTAGAATCCTAGTATCAGTCACGCACTCACCTTGATGTGGATTGAATAAGGGACGAACAAAGAAGAATACAACAAGAACAAGAGCCTCTTTGAACCACGGTCATGAAATCAACCTTCCCTTTTGCTAGAACACCCAAGAACAGCCACAAACACCTTTAGAAAACTCTTTAGAAGCTCTTCTTAAGGTTCAAGAACAAGCCACAACAAATCTCTCTCTCTCTCTCTCTTGCTTTTAGAAACGTACAAAGCCAAAAAGTTAGAAAAAAGTGGCTGCCTTGGAGTCTTATGTCGAGATTAGGGATTTCCCTAAACCAATTTTGGTTAAACCGACGATTGAAAACCAAAACCCTCAAACCAAAATTTGTTGGTGTCGATCAACACCCAAAACTGGTTTTGGTCTGCACTAACAAAATTTCAGACACGAGTGTTACAGTTTGGCCAAAAGGAACTAGAGTATTTGGGACACATTATTTTGGGAGAAGGAGTTAAAGTGGATCAAACCAAGATCTAGGACATGCTAGATTGGCCGGTTCAACCCAATATCACTGAACTTCAGGGATTTTTGGGATTAACCGGGTATTATCAAAACTTTCTGAAAGATTACGAGTTTATAGCTCAGCCATTGACCAACATATTGCGCAAGGGAGCATTCGTGTGGGGTGCGGAGGCGGAGGTCGCGTTCAATGCCCTCAAAGAAGCCCTCACATCCACTCCGACGTTGGCATTACCAGATTTCACAATGCCTTTTGTCATACAAACAAATGCATCTGATGAAGGTATCGGGGTTGTTCTCTCGCAAAATGAACAACCTATAGCCTACATCAGTAGGGCTCTTGGGGTTACAAAGAATTCTTGGTCCAAGTATGCAAAAGAAATGTGCGGCATTGTTATAGCAATCCGCACATAGCGACCATGTCTCCCTGGAGACAGTTTTACCATTCAAATCGACCAGCGTAGCTTACGGTATTTGTTAGAACATCGAATAATGACACCTAAAAAACAATGATGATACAAATATGCAGCATATTGAGGGTTTAGCTACTTCTCAGCCTCAAAATTCGTAATCATGGCGCAATGAGCTCGTGTGCTATATGAATCATGTGGTGTTGCCGCCCTCATCTCTGTTGGTTACACAACTTTTGCGAGAGCATCATGATACGCCCATGGGCGGCCATTATGGTGTGGTAAGGACCTTCAGACGATTAACATGCCAATTCTATTGGCCGGCTATGCATCGCATTGTGAAGGGATATGTGGCTGCTTTTGATGTTTGTCAGCGGGCCCAGTCAACTTTGATGGTGGTCTTCCAATATCGAATCAACTTTGGGAGGATGTTTTAATGGATTTCATTTATGGTCTTTGATGCGGACATCAGAACTAGATCAGACCAAGAGCACACCAAACCGGTCTACATGGAGAATTTTGGAGAATCTTTGTCTAAGTGGAGTTCTGATCAAGTACAAGGTGAAGGGTTAATTATTCACCATGATATTAACCCTAAGAAGTCCCACAGTTCAAGAGGGATCAAAAATCAGCAAGTCAAATCACCTTATTATTGGGATATGACTGTTGCACTCTTTATCCCTTATCTAGGGTTTGTCCCAATGGATTTACCTAGAAAGGTTTTTAATGAGGCAACACCAAGTCATCAAGGAATCATTCACCATCCATATGATTCAAAGATGATAGCTGATGTACATTCTGATCTACTCGTGGACAAGCATGCAGAACTACTCGCTGACAAGCATGCTGAACTACTCGCTGACCGACTGTCTGAACTACTCGCTGACCGACTGGCTGAACTACATCAGATTGCGAGCTGTGAGGATTTCAAGTCTTTTAACACTTGGATCAGCCATGAAGGGAGTCCACACACTCATTTCATTCACTACAAGGCCCCAGTCCATGGAGAACATCCCAAGAGAAGACCCAAGTCCAAACCACCCTTTGAATCAAGGCCGTTGATCTACTTGGAGCGAGATAAGGAAATTATCCTTTACTTTGATTTGGACGTGCCCCAAATTCATATATGGAAACCAGGTGAATATCTAGACCACACAAGACTTGTGCAACACGACATTTGGTACACCTTTGCACACAAGAACCCGATGAGTCACTACTTACCATCCATGGAGCCAAAGGAGATCAAGGTGGAAAGACTCCTTCCTTATTCACTTATGCACGTCTTGAGGCTTCCTAAAATGAACATAGACACTCCAATGAGTCATGGATTCGCCCCCAAGCTTTCAAGACTCAAGGCATCTCTCTACTTGCCTTATTTTGCCGATTTGGTTCATAAAGTCCAACGACAAGTGTAATTAATTTTGAGCGATTTGTTTCTTATTTTACATTATTAGGACGTGTAGCTGAGCCTATATAAGCTCATTAGATTGTTCATTTGTAAGCACCCTTGATCAATTTAAAATAATAGAAAGTATTCTTCTTGTCAAACTTTGAGTCTTTGTCAATCTTCTTCTTTAGTTCTTTGTGAGTGAGTCACTTAATTCTTTAGAAACCTGCGGATTAAGTTTGTTGTGTGATTCAACATCCTTTATTCGTCCATTGATCGAGTGAGTCGATTATCCCACCGATTGAGCGAGTCAATCACCTGAACTATCCCCTGAACCACCCACTGATTCACGAGAGAGTGCTTCTGGCCAGCTCGTGAATTCCACCTTCCGCAAACTAAGCTTGGAATCTCTTGATCATCAAGTGATCTAAAGTTTGGAGTGATTCCAATCTTGCATCAGATGGTATCAGAGCTTCAAAAGCTCCTATCCCTAAGGTTGTATCTTTTCAACCTATATTTGTTTTTTTGTTTTTCTTATTATTTATATTTTATATATATAAAAAAATCAAATAAATTTTTATTTTTTGCTTTAATCTTGTTATTTGCTTCAGTATTTCATTAACAAAAAAAAAAATTGTTTTACTTCATTTTCTTATTTATTTCGGATTTATTAAAAGAAAAGCCATAAAAATCTTTTTTTTTGTTATTCTAAATTAATTTTTGTATTTTATTTTTATAAAACCAGAAAAGAAAATAAAAACTGAATTTTTTCCTTTTGCTATTTGAATTTTTCGGATTTATTTAAAAAAAAATATTCATTTCTATTTTTTTGATGTATTTTCCTTATTTGTTGATTTACTTTTTGATACATCTTTTTTTTGCTTGTGCAAGATTCTTCTATCACGAAGACCAGAGAATATATGGAGTTTATTGAGTTTTACTCAGATGAAGAACTTCAAGGAGAAGAGCCCTATCAAGTCACGTCGGATGAGGAAGACAACTATGGAACGATCTCGTGGCGACGAGATGATAGTTCAGCTTCTGATTCAAGAGATGAACCAGGCCATGAAGCACCAGAACCAGAACCGCTTGACTCATACAACAACAATAAAGGCTACTCTAAACCATGGATTAAATTTAATGATTAGTTTTCCAGCCATGGTTCAAAATCTCCATTGACCCAAATTATGTCTTTTTCAGGACAAGATAATTATCTTAAGCAAAAAGAAGACATGGAGAATAAAAAAGCAACAAAGAAGAACTACCATTATAGACCTCTTCCATGGCATAAAGAGAAGACCGACCATCACCTCTTGTCACACAGAGTGCCTACATCCTCACGTCAAGCAAACCCGAGAGACAAGTACTTCTGGAGAAACCCACGAGTAGTACAGGAAGTGATTCAAGGATCATCCATTCGTTTTGAACCACATCCAAGTGGTAGGCGTGATCCCCTAGCTGAGAGAGACGCAAGGACCAGTAAGCTAGGAGGAGGCAAGCTGAAACATGGTGCTAGAAGAGACCCGTTGCAAAACAACCCCACCCGAACCAAGAAGACAAACTGCAGGTTATCTCTAGACAATGGTTATGAGTATTTTGGACCTGAAAGTTTTGAATTTGCAGGACATGAAAGAGATTATCTACAATGGGAAATCAACATGGACAAGTACTTTAGGTAATATTCCATTCCCAAAGCAGAGAGGCTCACCTATTGTCTGGAACAACTCATGGGAAGTGCAAAACGTTGGTGGAACCAAGAGGAAAAAGATAGAGTATGGTACAAGGAGCCATCACTCAGAACGTGGGGACAACTAAAGCTGCTTATGAGGGAGAGATATGCACCTCAAATGCTATCCCAGCCCGGTCAAAACACTTATCCCTCAAAGGAACCAAGCCGAGAGAACACAACACATCAACGTGTTAGTTCCAAACACAACGCGGATATATCACCCGCCAAGAAAAATGAGAAAGGTATAGGTGAAAGGGAAGATTCGGCTTCAATACCTTTACTTAAGCTGCAAGATAAACAAGAGCAAGGTAAGTCCTCTAACTATTAAAATTCAAATGCACCAACATGTTATAGATGCAATAAGAGAGGTCATTTTGCTGCATCATGTCCTGAACGACATGTAGAACTTATCACATCAATAGAGTTAAAACCAAATGCATCGAACTTAGATGATTGTCTAGTGAAATCAAGTTTAGAAATTCCCAATTCTAGATTAATGCGTTTGTCTTTGCCAAAGGTTATTGATGCAGGTCTAAGTCATATGATGGATGACAATGATGAAGAATTTAACCACCATGTAGCAACTCCAAGGGAAGTTAAGAATGACATAAGCCTTAAGGAGAAATTTTCGGAAACAACGGCATCACAAGTTTGCGAAAATAAGACGTGTGAGCAAGCAACTGTTGAAGCACGTGTGAAGGCACAACTATATTAAACATCATCTGATCTTGCTTCAAACATCACACTCATTAAGGTTGAGTTAATGCCAAACACCTTAAATGGTATCCTAGTAAGTGAAACCTACGATCTTGTTCGATATTGGAATAATTTAATAATTAATCGTAGCTCTAAAGACTTTGTTTTAAATGATTATATTTCAAGTATAATGCACTTGATTTTAGTCTTAAATGTCCAGAAAGATACAGGTACCATAGAAGAGTATCATGATGAGCAAGAGACCACATCCCAAAGGATATTGAATGTGGAGCAAACGGAGAAACTAGCAAAGAGTGATAACATGCATCCAAATCAAGAGATTAAGATGTGTTTACCACCTATTAAAGATGATGAAGTTAGCACCAATAACATTCTACTACAAGAAGAACCACCGGACCAGTCATCAAATCAATCAACCTTGCTGATTTTGAAAGATACACTCACCGAAGAACCATGTCAAGTAAGTAATCCATTCTTTCGGTTTATTTTTAATAATTTGAATGATGTGAGTATGAACTTGTTAAGCTTTAAAGAGTGTGACAAAAACGTAGGTCTCTTAAACAAATCAATGGAATTAGTTTCTTGTTTTAAATCATATCGATTAGTTGATTCACTTTGTGACATACTTATTGATACACTTTATGAAGAAGAAATGGTTCAGCCGATCCTTGTTTATATTGGTCCCATGACTGTATTAATGCACTTGTTCTGTGTCAAAAGTGTCAACAACATTGCAGGTACAAATGAGGATCATAATGGCGATTTACCAAAGCTGAAGAAACGCTTGAATCAAAATCAGACCCGGAGTAAGCCAGCGCCATTGGTGATTACACCATCCATAATGGAGACTAGGAGTGTAGTGACCCTCACCCTAACCTAGTGACCGGATGAAAATTCACCGGCCAACGATGAATAGAAGGACCTTGTAAGACTAGTAAGGCCGGAAGACGGTGATCGATCGAGGCGTAACCAAAGGAAACATCACTTGGTCGAGAGATGTGTGAGGAAGCGTAGCCGGAGAGGTATATTACCAACCATGCGAAGTTTGAGCCGAAAATAAAGCAAGGCATTTCGACCCAAAGCCATAAAATGGCTAAGTATGAAGGTTTATCGAAGCGGATTGCCGGAAGAACGAGGAAGGAACGAAGAATGTCGAGATTTCATCATTCCTGTCGATGGCCGGTCGAGAAAATCTGATTGTTGCCCGATTCAGTGTATCTGCACTCGACAGCTTTGACACTTGGCAAAATCCGACAAGAAAAATAGAGAAGATCTGAGGAAAATCTCGAACAAAGATTTGGGGGGAAGATGCAATGGACGAAATCGGACAAAATCCTTTTTCTTCTCCATGTCTGCCACGTGTCCGGCAGCCAAAGATGGCTTGTTCTGCCAAATCCGAACCTAAAACTGGCCAATGCATGCGATTTCCGAAGCTTTCTATTTTTCCGAAGCTAGGCTCTATAAATAGAGCCTTCGAGTCTTTATTTGGGCTGTTCACCCAAAATTCTCGAAAATAAAATAGCTCCGTCAGATCGAAGGAAGGAATTCCTGCCCGTCGCCGAGGGTTCATCGCCGGAGACCTAAATCACCGAGACGCTGACGCCAGTTTCACCGGAAGAGAGAAGTCCGAGTCGAGCTGTCGTCAAAACAGATTTGTGAGTTCAGGAAGCATATTTACCGATCTAGATCTGGGACCGAAAGGCTAGATCTAGTATCCGGTCTTGCATAATCATGTAGTTGCATGCTTTAATTTCGTTGAACGTTTTCTTGAAATTATTTATGCATCATGATTGTGGATCTCGGTATTAGATCGTGTTTGTGATCGCAGATCCGCTCACAGTGATCTAATACGCGAGTGCTGTGTTCCGATACTTGCTTCTATGTGTGCAATTAAACCATAGATCCCAAGTTACCGATGAAATCTTTAAGGTCTTGTTATGTGGCTTTCGTGACAGTTGTCCGAACCATAAGCATCTCAAGACTTGGATATGTTGTCCTTCGCTGGTTCCGTTCTAGCGTGATTCCCGGTTCACTTCCATTTTCTGGAGTCTCACGCTAGTTCGATGAGCTTTGGAGAGACTTGGTTTGCTACGTTGGCCAAAGCTGTCTACACGACGGTGTAGCTTAAAGTGATGTTCCGGTCGTATGCCTTCGTGGCTATGGCTCGGGTGTTCACGATGGTAGTGATGTGGAAGAAAGCATATCCGGGCCCTAAAAATTTGGATGTAAAACTTGATTAAAACTATCGAGTCGTGTCGTTGTTGGTTTGCTGCTTTTCGCTTGCATACTCTGATTGCTTGTCGGGTGGTTTATTTTGGGGAAAGGGAGGGGTTTTTTTTTGCAGGGACTCCTGAGCTCACTAAGTAATATTAGATTACTTATGAACCCATTTTTTTTGCAGGAAACCCTAGTGGAAAGGAGTAGTGGCGTGTTGGACTTAGGAACCCGGAGTAGTTTTTGTGCCTTTTGTAAAACAAGTATGTTGAATATGTTTTAAGTTTAAGTATTTGGGCTCTAGGCCTCGGCCGTCAAAACTCTTTTAAAGTATTTCGGTGACTTTGTAAAATATACTTTATCGTAATGAATAATTCGGGTTTCTTTTAAAAACAACGAGTGATGTCTGATAATGACTTAGTCCGAGTCGGCTCAACACTTGGATATCATAAGGGTTGGCAAGCCTAAGTGATATTCCAAGTGGGAAGGTCTCACCGAAGGACTGGCTAAGGTTCTTGATTTGTTCTCGAACCTCGGCCGGATCGTTGGTGAGTACTTTCAAAGTAGCGTCTCCGGGTTGTCCGTGGCTTGTCCGGCCATAGGACGATTCGGGGGCGTTACAACGGCGGTATCAGAGCATGGTTATGATGCTGTTCGGATCTCGTATTTTCAAAAACGTTTTATCGAGTAAATTAGTCGCAAAACGCACTTAGGATAAGCCGGTTTGTCTTTCACCTTAGGTAGATTTCCTTAGATAGATGAGAGTTAAGTTTACCTTGTTGGAATTGGATGCATGATGTCTGGCCAAGGATCTGAGCGTGATGGATTAATGGATTTTCCTCCGTCTTATGAGAATTGGAGCCAGCCATTCGAGTCGGAAGAATGGGGTCCGCAGGCCGCAGAAAATGGGCGTGGTGAAGACTCGGCTCAGTTCACGGACAGGACTTATAGAGCGTCCGATAGTGATGATCCCAACTCGACGCCGTTGTACTCTCCCCCAAGGTCAGGCCGCTACAGTTCATCGTCAACTTACTCTTACCCCATGCCTCGTCCGAAATCGCCTCTTGGTCGTAACACTGCTCACCCAAATCAGCCTATGCCGAGAGAGAATCAGGAAGTTCTGAATGGGGGAAATGATCCAGAAAACCAGCAGACCCTGGGGATAATTCAAGAGCTGTTAACGCACATGATTCGTCACTGAATCAATAATCAGTGTCAATGTAAGGTTGTAAAACGTAACGATTATTGATACTGGCAAGAAAACAAAGCAGAACAAGTAAATAACAAGAGAATTAAACAGAAAGCACAAATGGATATAAGATCCCGAGGATGAGGTTATTGATGTAGGTGGAGTATGCTAATCATCCAGGAAGGCCAGCGTACCGATTCCCCATCGGCTAAATTTCTGAAGCTTGTTATGATGATGAGGGACTTGGGTGTTCAGAAATTCAAAGGAGAGCAGAACACGGTCATAGCAGACAAATGGTTGAGAAATTTAAAGACAAATTTTGAGACTTCTTAGTGTCCCGAGGAGTTTAAGAAGCACATAACTATCAATTTCTTAGATGATGATGCTCGAGCCTGGTGGGAAAGCGTTGCCTCTCGTTATCATTACCTGCCGGTCAATTGGGAAGTGTTCAAAAGGGAATTTGAGTTCAAGTATTTCCCTCCCGAAGCCCGTGATCGTTTGGAAAAACAGTTCATGGCCTTGGAGCAGCGATCGATGAGTGTCCGAGAATACGAGCTAGTATTCACTCGCCTCCGAAGGTACTTGTACAATGGAAATGACGGTGAAGCTGCCATGGTTCGTAGGTTCCTCCGGGGACTTCGACCAGAGATTTGGGGAAGGCTTCAGGCTGTGACGTACGGTAGCGTCAGTGAATTAGCAGAAAGGGCCGTAAATGTTGAAGAAGGTATTGCACTCGAGAAGGAAGGCATGACCAAGACGGTTGCGACCCAGCAACAAACTCCCCGACCTAACCACAGGAACACCCAACCTGCTGGACGGAACAAGAACAATTGCCGCAACAAGGGAAAGAATGTTGTTAACTAAGGTGGGGAAGAAGTGTCGGATTTTGATCCGAGAGGATGTTACACTTGTGGAAAGATAGGACATTTCGCACGTTTCTGTCCGACAGTTGTACAGACCAAGGCACCCAACCTTGCATTTGTTACTTGTTTCTTTTGTGGAGAACCGGGTCATTGCATGAGTACCTGCCCGAAGAAGAAGGTTGCACCAAAGGACCAAGCTGCAAACCTCCGCCGCCAGACTAGAGAGCCAAAGGACCCCAATCTAAGAAACAAGCTACCCCCGCGAATGTGTATGCCTTAGGTGTAGGATTACCCAAACCTCCAGGCCCACCGAAGGGTCCCATAACAGGTTTGTGTGGGTTCTAACTCTTCTAGTGTGCATATTTCTCAAGATTCTTGAGTGATTGCTTGTTGGTGTTGCATGCATATCATACATTAATTGCATTAGGGACGTTGATGGTTGGTGGTAGCCCCACGCATGTGTTGTTTGATTTGGGGGCAACAAATAGTTTTGTAGCCCCGGAAGTGATTGATAAGTTTGTGGAAACGTTCACCGAGGAAGAGGTGATCGTAGATGTGCACACTGCCGGAAATCAGCCGCCCTTACGTGCCCAAAGGTTGATAAGAGGAGATTCAGTGATCGTCGAAGGCGTGAACCACCCGGCAGACTTGCTTGTGATGTCGATGGAGATATTGAAGTCATTCTAGGGATGGATTGGTTGTCGGGATACCAAACCCATCTCGACTGCAGCCGCAGTAGAGTGATTATGGAGAACAGAGGACGAACTCCTTTGATATACTATGGAATTAGTCCAAGTAAAGGATCATCGTTCGTTTCAGCCTTGAGGGTTCAAGGTCTGATGGAAGAAGGAGTAGTCTATCTAGTTACTCTTACGACCGTTGGAGATGATGCCGACGAAGACCAAAGGATCGAAGGCATAGCAGTTGTCAAGAACTTTGAAGATGTGTTTGCACCCTTAGAGGGATTGTGTAGCATCTGTGTCCGGGTATTCTAGTCGAGCTTGTGATCGAGGATTGAGATCAATGCTCGAAGGATTATCGAAGGAAAGGCTATGGATCGAAGGTTTATCGATAAAGATCGATATTCATCGATGGAAATCAAGTGTACCGAGAAAATCTATGTAAGCTGAAGAGTTTATCGAGTGTTCCGTGTTTTTCGGAGAAAACTGACGGTTACTCGGTCCGAGCGTGATTTTCGGACAAGGGTGGTCGGTAGCCGACAGGTCTGGTCGAGAATCCGACAAGCTTGGTCGAGCAATTATCGATGTCCGAGATGATGCGTGTGAATTGTTCGAGAGAATTGGCGGGAACGGTTACTTTCTTAAGAAAACACGCGGATCTAAGTTAAGTGGCAGTTACTTGACGGTTTCTGAAGGAAGAATTGATTAAAAAGGAAGCTACTCGATATTCTTCGTCACTTATGCGTTGTTAGCGAGAGAGAGCTCGTAAAAAGGGAGAAATGGCGAGAATTCTTCGAGAAAGGTTGAGAGATATCGATGATTAAGAGATT